AGAAACCAAAAGAAAGATAGAAAATAAGTCTCTGAAAAATCTGAGCAAAAGCAGCAGCAAGAATACCAAACAGGAAACCAAAACAGCTTCAAATTCAAACTCAGAAATCCCAGCAAAAGTATGTAACCAGTAAGAGTTCTTTGCTAAAAGTAAAATTGAAGGAAAAAGACTCAAAAGCAGTGCAGAATCAGTGTATTTTCAGGGAATTTTCTGTGTGTTTTTAAGTCTGTCCCGGTCTATAGAGAATGCCTCCCTTATATAGGATATTTGAGAGGCTTATGAGGGAATGAGATAGGGTACAAAAAAATCTGCCAGCTTTTCCTTAATTTCAGGGAAATAGCATCTTTTGTACCATAAAATGGACAGCTGTATCCAAATTCAGCATCTTATCTCAACAATATTGGGACAGCTGTCCCTTTCTAGAAGTTTCTTTTCATTTTTACTCTTTTAAACTTCTGAAAATTCATTCATTTTAACCTTAAAAACCGACTTAATTCAATTGTTATTACAATTAAATTCCTTCCAGATGATTCCTACACAAATACCTCAAAACCCCTAATTTTTTTGATTTAGTTTGGCCCCTCTAACTTTTAGTTATTACCCTTTCAAACCCCACAGTTGTAATTGACATAAAAAATCAGCAATCAAAGAATAAAAAATTAACAGAAACAGAAACAGACTACCAACTAAACTTAACTAGATCATTAAACTAATTATACATGATTCGGCTAATCCAAAACAACACGTAATTAAACTAATTAATCCTATTTCAATTGAACTAGCCTAAATCAGTGATAGCAAAAAAGAACAGAAATAAACAATACAAATCAGAGAAATGAGGGACGAGGGTATACCTAACCGGACTGACTTGACGGAAAAAGGGGCTAGTTGCCAAAACCCCTCTTGCCAAGATACTCGTCTGGAATTTGAATCCCTGACGGGAGATCTTGGCACGAGGATCTTTGAACAAACTAGTTGAGTGGCTGACGGCTAGGGTTTATTCATGGGGGAGGGGGAAGGGGGGGGGGGGCGGAATCTGGTTTTTGAGGAATGGAGGATGGAGAGGCGGCTGCTCCTAGGGTTTTGTTGAGGGAGGCGGTTTCTAGGGTTTTGGGTTCCTAGATCTAAAATTGAGGGATTTTGACGGGGTTTTTGGAGAAACTAATGGTGGATCTGTGTTGAGGGTGAAGAGGGGATTGTAGGGTGTGATTTTGAGGTGGTTGGAAGTTGACCGCTGCCGTGGGCGATTTCCGGCATCGGTGTAAGGCGGTGGTTAGGGTTTCGTTTTGGGCTAATATTGTATCTTGATGTTGCAGGTGGGGTAGAGGAGAAGAAGAGGAATCGATTGATGTAAGTTTGAGGCAATTTGGTTAAGTCCGGCCGGCGGAGACGATTTCCGGTCGGCGGCCATCGGTGGTTTGAGCGGCGGTGGATGGTGGTGCGATTTCCGGTGTGGAGAAGAGTGAGGGTGAGAGGAGAGGGATTCTGAGGAGTCTTTGAGGGGTATGGGAGTCAGTTTAGGACAGTTATAAGGGCGGAAATGGCTAGTTTCAGACCGTTATATTGAAATGGATGAATGGTGAAGATTGAGAGGGATTCAAAACAGGGTCGTTTGGTTAGTAGAAAGCTGGACCGGGTGAGGGAGTGGATTGGGCTGGGTGAGATGGTATGGTATTGGGCCAATTGAAACAGGCCCAGTCCGATTTTAATTCAAAAACAGGCTCCTTTTCCTTTATTATTTTTCTTTCTTCTTCTTTGGTTTTAAAATATTATTAAATTAAATAAAACCCTAAATTAATCTAATTTATAAAATTAAACTACTTTTCTACTTATACTATTTACGTAATTAATTAATCCTAAATTAATGAGAGAAAATTACTAATTTAACACTAAAAGCCAAAAAATGTAAAAATAAACATCATTTTTGTGTTTTTTATTTTAATAATGTAATTAACTCAATGTAATTAACTCATAAATACAAATAAACCTAAAATTTTATGCAATGAATATTTTAGACATCTTTGGTATTTTTCATGATTTTAAAATATTAAACATGCAACTAAAATGCAAACAACAATTAGCAAGAAATTCCTAAAAATTTTATAAAATTAAAATAATTAAAAACAAATCTATTTTTTGTGAATTAGTTGGAGTATTTTTCATCGAGCAAAAATCACGTGTTCACAATCATCGACCCTGATCTTCGATTGGTATCGATTATGTACATCGGCCCAGGTCACAGTTGGATATTCAATTAAATTTTTGCGTTAGTTGTCGTGATGCTATAGAACTTCGTTCGTTCAAACCTTGAGTAAAAGCTTGAACAACCCAATCATCTGTGACTGGGGGTAGGTCCATGCGTTCCATCTGGTACAGAGATACGAATTCTCTTAACATTTTGTTGTCCTTTTGTCTTACTTTGAAGAGGTCCGATTTCCTAGTCGCAACCTTTATTGCTCCGGCATGTGCCTTCACGAAGGAATCTGCAAGCATGGCGAAGTAGTCGATGGAATTGGGCGGCAAATTGTGGTACCATATCATTGCCACTTTCGATAAAGTTTCTCCAAAAATTTTCAATAGAACGGATTCAATCTCATCATCATATTCTATGTCATTCCCTTTATTGCGCATGTATAAGAAGTGACATGCTCATTAGGGTTGGTGGTTCCATTGTATTTGGTAATTTCTGGCATGCGGAATTTTTTCGGGATGGGCTTCGGAGCCACACTTTGAGGGAAAGGCTTCTGCACGAACTTCTTCGAATCCAAACCCTTTAGAATCGGGGGTGCTCCCGGTATTTGGTCAACCCCGGAGTTGTACGTTTATACCTTTTTGTCATTAGCCCGATTTTCTTTTCATTTGATTCAATTCGTTTAGAGAGCTCCTCGAGCATTTTCATAATGGCGGGGTCAGTCCCTGATTCATTAGCGTTCGATCTCTCCGGTATAGGTTCAGCTCTATGAACAATTTCTTGTGATGGCTCGAGCTCAATTCTGCTTGGTGCTCGATTCTGGTTTTGGAGTTGTGCTATCGCAGTTTGTTGAGTCTGCAACATCTCGAATATCATCCGAAGACTAATTCCGCCCTCTTCACCGCTCTGTGCGTTCTGATCGGCCGCTCGAGCATCTCTGCGGAAGTTGTTTTCAGGATCGACGCGCAAATTCCCATTAATGGAAATATGGGAGCTGACGTCAATTGGGTTCACGGTCGGAGGCCCATCAGGGTTGACTGGAGGCACTCCGTCCCGGGGCGGCTATGTTGTCGTTTTCGTCGTGGAAGCCGAGGCCATTGTCTGTATGTGTGGGTGCTACTTGAGAGTTTGACATATTTATCCTGAAATCAAAAACACTCACAAGAAAGAGCGTAAAGTAGTGTGTGTTATGAGAATTAATACCAGGCAATCACTATTATCCTTAGCCCCACGGTGGGCGCCAAACTGTTTACCCTTAAAATTGGATAACAATTAAACTTATAATGTGGTTTTAAGGACATGTGATTTCACCTAATACCAATTGATAAATATAAAGATTAGTAATGAAGATTAACAATATGACAAAGCAAACCAGTGTTTGAATGGAATTCAGCCTCGAGCTAGACTACCCTCAAACTGATTGGTGTAAGAACAGTTAAAAATATGAGCAAGCTGATGAACAAGAATATAAACTAGACAGAGAGTATTGTATTGCTTTGATATGCGTGAATGTAAGGTGGTTACAAAACGATTAGAACCCTTTTTTATATAGTAGAGGACTCCTATCTATGGTACAATTCTAATTACGGAAGTAAATCCCATGGTTAGCCTAAACAATTGCCCTTGATTTGATCTGTTCCGAGATTACCGCCATGATCTTCGACCAGTCACGGATATCTCGCCTTTCCGTTATTATGCACTCATCGATCTTGCCCGATGTTTGTCCCATTTGGCCTCAATCACTACTGGCCTCGATCTCAACAGGCATCTCGAATCCCGAACTCGGTATCCAGTCTTTGTGCCCCGGTGCCCAGTCTTCGATCCTTCACCCGGTAAATTAGTAAAATCGGGTGGGTCCGATTTTAACCGTATGCAAATAGTTGATAAGAAAATGATGCAACCAATTATTTAAGGCAAATAAAAATGAATGAACTTCGTAGTACTATTGAATATCACATCCCATGAGAGAATCCCAAATATTTCTAGATATTTTCTAAAGAAAATTCTTTATAAACTCTTAAAAATATATTTAAAAATTATATATATTTATATGTCGGTTTGGTTCGAGATTTTTTACTCAATACCAAACCAAATCAAACCAAATATAATCTGGATTTTTAATCGATTTGATGACTTTTTGGTTTGGTGCAGTTTTTCGGTTCGATTTGAATGTCACCCCTAATATCTACTACCATGTTAGTGGTGCTTTCTTTGATTTTTTGTTATTTTAGTCATTTGACTTCTTTCTTGTTCACTGTTCTCTTTTTACAGAAGATGTAAAGAAAAAGAATTGGTGACTTGAAGCCAAAAAAGACCAATCGGTGACGAAGAGTAATGTATAAAAGATAGACTTACGCATGAAGCGTACCAACTCATATCCTGAGCTACACGACGGAAAAGGTTATATTTCTCGTCAGTACATGATAAAGTTGATACGTACAAGAGACGTTTCTGGTTAAATGATTAAGGTTCTAATTAGTTAAGTAATCAACAAGTTACTTTTCTTTGTTCCTTAAACTTAATCAAATTACAATGACTCGGATATAATTTTAAAATTGCTTCGACTCGTTCACAAGTTTAAGAGTTTTCACTAGTTAACTACACTCGAGTGACTGAGAACCTGAGATGATTACTACTAGGGTTAACTACTATTTCTTATTCATATACTAAACTATTACTATAAAAAAAACCCTTCTCAAATGTTAATGATCAAAGTTGAGATAGAGTGTTATGACCTGGCAACGGTTAATTAACGCAGAATCATGTTCAAGTCCATTAATAACGCAGAGGTAAATGATGAGATCAGAAATTGGCAAATAAACAAATGGAATTTATATAATAGAAAGTGGGAGGTAAAGAAGAGCGTCCAAAAGGAGTGAAAGGAGTCAAGACTAGTACAATCTCTACCCTTACACTCCACGAAAGAATATAAAAAAGGAGCCAATGTGGCCAAATCTCTAAACGGATCCAAATGAGGACCCCGTGACCATAAAGCACCAGAAATAACCAAAAGATAAATTATATGTCAACATCGAAGTGATAAAATACTGGACAAATATGTTTCAGAAAAAAAGAAAAAAGGTAGCCTCTTTAGAACAAGAGCCAGCTCATCACAGCCCATCCAGCTACCAAGCTTCCGAGCATCTTCAATTTCTCTGCTCCACTCTGCATTAGATCCACAATATATTAGATTAATATTTAAAATTGAAGAACCAGATCCAAAACATATATTTATTCCTTTGAACGATAGCAATTTCTAGAAATAGAGAAGCCTTAATGCAATAAAAGCAGTATATCAATTATAAAAAGAGAATTATGTTTTTTTTAATAATGCAAATGCAGAGCAGGAAGATTAAAGTAACATGGCACAGGTTTCGTGTGCATGTGCATTTAAAAGACTTGAGCACTGCTGCCTCGTGCTTAGCGACCAATGATGTGCTTTCTCGAAACAATTACTGTTTGGTTTCGAAAACACTACAATTAAAGAAGATCAGAAGAATCTTTGGCTGTCTCCGTGCAGTGAGCTAATTAATACGTAAGCTAATAACTCTGTGCATTATTAACAAAATTTCACCGACACCATATGCTATTATGCGCCTCCATGCCCAATACACGAGTTAACAGACAGACAGTTAAGTGAGAATGTCAATGTGCAAGTGTGTTAACCATGCTATGAAAAGTCACATCTTCAGATGCCATCAAATGTGCAACTGATGGACGTGTCTTTAATAAAGACCAGCTTGTGCAGCTGTAAAACGTAATTGTTCTTTAATTGATCTACATCCGCCGGAAACTAACGTACGCAGCGCCAAAATATTCATATGAATTTAAATGTGCAGCTATAAATGTAAATGTTCCCTAGTGGACCAACATGTGCCCAATCCCAATCGATCACCTAACAATCAACTACATCTACTAGTTTAATGAAAAACCATAATTATTTAAAGATGAATTTTACTACCTGTTAAATTCTATGCATATTACCATACTAGTGTAAGTCCCATTCACAGTAGCAGACCGGTAAAGTTATGGAATTCTATGCATACCGGTAAAGTTAAGTAAAAATTCTATGCATATGTTTATGTCTTAAAAAAAGTACTCCTCTTCCAATTTATGTGAACCTTTTTTTTTTTAGTCAAACTTTTATAACCACACAAATACTCTGGACCCTTTTTGACTAATTTAGGACCACAAATTCCAAAAATTTTACTTTTTCTTAAACTTCGTGCCCAGTCAAACATGTATACATAAATTAGAACGGAAGGAGTAATATATATTAGAACTGGCATTCTATATACGTTCTATATATAAAGCAAATTTTGGTTGAATGCAAATGTACACCCGATATCTCTAAATGGGTCTCGTATTATATAACGAAAGACACCCCGAATTACGAGAATGCAGATAAGCTGACACTAGAAAAATGAATAAGTTGATTGAATATATTAATAGATCTGGAAGAACATTAGCGATCGAGCGTATCTTAATTAATTAGACAGTAAAAGAAGATAGATTAAACTAAAAAGAAAGAGATTTAATGAGATTACGTACCTCATCGTTGAGAGATGGACTGGGAGAGTCGGAATCCATGCTAGGTCCAGGAGCTTCAGTAGGAGGTGCAGGTGGGCTCATCATATCAGGAGAAGGTGCTGGTGAAGATGCATGTTTCTTCCCCTTCTTCTTTCCCTTGCCCTTGCTCTTGCTAGGAGCAGGAGCTGGTACTGTCTCTGAAGCAGCAGGTGCTGAAACTGGAACTGGAGCAGGTGGAGCAGAAGCAGCTGGTGGTGTCGCTGTCACTGGAGCAGGTGCCGGTGGAGATTGCACTGGTGTAACCGCTGGTGGTGGTGAACTCACAGGCACTGCAGCTGGTGGAGAACTAGCTGGTGTTTTAGCTGGTGGTGCTGATACTGGTGCAGTAACAACAGGGGTAGTAGGAGCAGTGGCTGGTGCAGCTGCTGGAGGAGTAGAAACAGCTGTGGGTGGAGCTGAGACAGGGGCAGAAGTTTTAGGCTTTGTGGGAGCAGCAGCTGGTGGTGTAGTAGCCTTAGCACCAACTGGTGCTTTGGCTGGTGCAGCCGCAGGTGTCTGACCTGTGACACCGGCCACTACAATGCACAAAAATGACACTAAAAATACAATCTTCCTATCCATGGCTTCAAATAATCAAGAATCTATAGAATAGAAGAGATGGTAAATGGAAGAGGGGAGAGAGTGTGATTTGTGGGTAAAGAGAGTGAAGTTAAGTGCATATAAGTAGGCAAGTTACGATGTAGAACAAGGCATAACGGCTAGAGAAGAGTGGACATCTGGGTGGGGCCATGCAAAAACAAACAAAATAAGGTTACTATTGTGTGGCAATTAAACAGGCTGGATTAGGGCCCAATTGGCCATGTGATTAGGTAATGGGCCTCACCACGTCAGGTGTTTTGGGTTACGCGGAGTGTAGGTGATTATTGTAGCTGGAACTTTTGATTTGGTGTCTTCGATGGAGGGCAAAGCACACAGCTGGAACATGGTTAGCTGTGGGACCATTTCAATCACAAGCAAATCAAGTCCGTCCGCGTTGGCTTTGAGGCGATGATTGTGGAGGAGGATTACTTTAGCTGGACTCTCATTCCACCGACGAGGTACGACCCTTGCGGTGGAGCAACCTTTGCTATATACTACTATAGTAATTTCTTTTTTTTCCTGGTTATTTAATAGTCTTGGGAGTAATATTCTTTTACAAAATCTTTTTGAAAACGAAACAATATTTTTGTAGTTAGCGATTAGTCATAGTTTTTGTTAAAATTTTATCTACAAACCTTCACAAAAAAAATTTATCGAAAAGTTTTGGTTGAGATATTTTGTAGGATCATTATTTTCAATTCAAATTGTAAGTGGGGGATAGAAAATCATTTTATCATCCAAGCCGCTTAAGAAAATATACGTACTTAACCAGGAGTGTCCGTATTCTCGACGTCATGATGGGGTAACGGTAGTATTTCCAAAAAATTGCAAAAATATGATATTTTTTTAGAGTGATTTTAATTTTTGAATCTCATTTCTTCTATCGGCAGAACTTCAAGGTCAAAAGTTAAATATGTATTAGACAAACGAGTCGCTATATTTATTAAACTTGAAGTTTGTATACGGTGAAAATCGGGGCTATCTGATTTCATCCTTTGATCAAAAAATAGATACCACGTCGAAAGGCTAGGACGTCGAGTCCGGGATTGAAGTTTCTTTCCAAGATCGAGGTCGACACCACTAATCGAGGTCAGAAGAGGGCATATTTCGAAATGATGTCGGTATAGTTCAGTAAAGGAAAGGGCGAGATATGCGCAACGGATCAAAGATCGTGACGTGAATTTTGGAATGGATTGATCTTCGGCGGTTAATCAGTTGTTAAATATGATTTCCTACTATAATTAGAAGTGTACCTTATTTAGAACTCCTCTATTATATAAAGAGGGATCCCATTCATTTGTTTGTTTACTGAGAAGAATATATAAACTCATTTGCTATTTCACTTAGTGTTCATCAGAATTGCTTTATCATTTGCTATTTCACTTAGTGTTCATCAGGATTGCTTTATCATTTGCTATTCCTATTATCACACCCCGGGACTACTGCAAGTCGAGGTCGAAATTTGGCTAGTATACTTGTTTGATTTATTTTATTCTCTTATTTTGTTTATTTAATTCCTTATTTATCAATTGGTATTGGATTGAATAACATATTCTTAAAACCACAATATAAATTTAATTGTTACTCGAATTTGAGGGTAAACAAAATTCTAACATTGAAGCAAGTACGGATAAAAATTCAAAATCATCCACTTTGAGGGCTATTTGTATACTTCGCCCTAGTATTTCAGATTGCTGGTTATGGGTCCATGACAATTCGTTTGTTCCCTTTTTGGCTTGGCATATACTACTGCACAACAAAAAAATTAATTTTACAGTTGGCCTGGCTAAATGCTTTGAATTGATTACTTTGGAATTGAGCAAAAGATAGCTAAAGACGAAAGAAGGAAATAAATAGACAACTCACCCAATAGTAAAAGAAATGGATATAAAAGTGGGAAAAAGAGACATATGAGGAATATATTTATTTATAGAATGGAATTAGTAGGTGTGTATAAATGATGATTGACATTATGGGGTTCCAAGAAAGAAACTCCAAATGGCATACGCGTGAATCCTATGGTTGCTGTAAGAACCACAGTTGTGTCCTTCATTTACTTAGATCCATTTGTAAGATTGGCAGAAGGATAGTGACGATTGTCCAACTCTGTTTAATCTTTTTACATAGGAAAAAGGAAAAAAGAAGAATAAAGCATGGCGTTTTGTATGATAAAGGCTATACTGTGTTTTTAGATTCAATCAGACAGAGCCCCATATTCTTGTTTTTCTAGCCGTTATAGGGAAGATAATTAAATTGATAGACTCAGAGTAGAAGGTCCCCCAACTCACGGACGAATACAGCTCATAAGCTTCGAGTTAATTTTAACCTAGTATTTTAAATTCAAAGCATATATATGTACATAAAAATTCAATAATATTTTGACAAAAATCATATTTGAATTCATAATTTCAGAGGTACTATGAATTAGGTACCAAGAACATGAAAGGTCGAACAAATTAAGTTTTAAATTTTAAATCCGTCTCTGACCACATCCAACCTTTGCTTTCATTTAAGTTATATGTATTGAAAATGTAAAAAGTATTTACACAATTAAATCACTTATAAGATAAATATATGTTTATTTTTTATGAAAGCATTAGTTGATCAAGTGATAAAAATAGTAATTAAACTGCTACAATATGTTACAATTACATGAATAATCTTTAAAAAAATTATACTATAGATATATATAACTTACATTAAATTATAACTTTTTTACGAGATAAGGAGGTTCTTTTTAGTGTTGCATGATTAAAGTAAGTTTTACCATCTGACTACAGCCCGTAGAGGTATTGCTCAAATTAATAAATCAGGAATTTAAAATTTAATGTACTTACTGTAATGAATCGCAAAACTGACAAGCAATGTTTTTTTAAAACATGCTACTCACAGATGAATAATATATTTCTTTCCTTCCTCGCGAACTTATCTTTTTCTTTGCTCGAGCAATCCGCAACTAAATAAGCTTAACGTTAAAGGTTGGAAAAGAAAAATAAAGCACAATAGTACGATGGAAGAGCTAAAAGGCAAAAACAAGACAGGAAAAAGAAAAGGAAAAAACTCGCCATCTCTCTTGTTTCATTTCAGAGCAGGAAATATAAAATATTAATTTGAATTTTATATTATTATTTAAATAATAATTAAAACTAACCTGAAAGTAAAACAATTAAATAACTATAAACTGTTGAAAATTACATACAGTAATGACAAGAAATTGTGTTAAGTATTTTGAGGCATTTCAAAAGCAAAAGATTGTTATATAAATAAGCAAAAAGTAGTTGCAAAAATAGATAGACAGATGTCAGGCTCTTACTCTATTTTTATCTCAGCCGAAATTAACAAGTCCTTCCATTTGTTCCTCTTTATATAAAGTACTTGCTTTTACAATCTTAGGAAAAATCTAAGCTACGTGATACTTAAGTTCCTACGAACTTGTTGAAGAAGAAAGCAACTTGGGAGGGAATAACTATATCCCTTCTGTCTCACTCAAGACCCTTATTCTTATTTTTCCAATCATAAACTTGGCTATCTTTTTTGCCCCAGCAATCTACAAGTATAATTTATGCAGAAAAGTTTACCCATTTTGTTTTCTTTAAATAAAAGTAAATTTCATGTGATAAAAGAGTTTGTGAAACTAGGAAAAAACTTTACTTCAATATGATGCGATTAGATGCTTATCTAACACTACTTTTTTATGGACCTCTTTCGCCTTGGTTTGCCTCGGTAGAGTCAACTCCTTTGTGGTTTGAGATTTTACATTTATTTTTTTCATTTGATATTTTTTGAATAGAGAATAGTTTAATGGATAAAATGTTCCATCGCGAAAATATCAAACTTGAAATGAGTCCATGAGTCCTTTTTTTTTTTTTGGGGGGGGGGGGGGGGTATGGGGGGTCTCAAACATGAAATTGGGTTGCTTAGCTACTGTCCTAATATAACTATTGAAGAGAAAATATAATACTAATGCTCATTTAAAATGACGTATACCGAATATACAAAATAAAAAGCTTGATCATATTTTCAAATATGAGTAAATAAGTGAATTTCCTTTTCGTGAAGATCTCAACACTTTAATACTGTTAGAGAATGCTACATACAACCTTCATGAGTTGTGTAAGGATTTTCAAAGATGTTTAAATGATCTCGATCCCAGGCCATTTCACAAGGACATTACTTTATTTGGGTGAAATGCTCAAATTGTTTTTAAGTATATAGTAGTATCAAAGCCAATGTGAATTCATTTGCACAATCACTTTATCTTATCATGTTCCATGCTCTGGGCTTTTCTCTACTCAGCCCATGGAGCTATTATGTAGTTTTCTATCTCTCTCAATTTAGCCCATTCAATTACAGGTGTACTCCTACTAAGCCTCTTCGTTTCGGACTTTAAAAAAATCAAAACATGAAAGGCAAAAAATTAAGGGAGATTTTCAGTAAAAATAGCACGGTCTAGCCAGTTTTCGGACTGGTCATTCAAAAATAGCCAGCGTTTACCAAGTCAATAAAAAATAGCCACTATTTTGCTGCAACAGAGACCGGTCCAGCATAATATACTGGAGTTCGGTGCACCTGTGTATGAACTTCCAGCATATTATGCTGGAACTAACACACGGAAAGTTCCAGCATAATATACCGGAGATTCGAGCACTTGTGTATGAACTTCCAGCATATTATACTGGACCGATATACTTTGCTGGAACTCCAGTATATTATGCTGGAGTTATAGTGTACTTATGCTGGAACTCCATCATATTATGCTGGAGTTCCACCATACTTATCCTGGAACTCCAGTATAATATGCTGGAGTTCAAGTTACTTATGTTGGAACTCCAGCATAATATATTGGCGTATTTTTCGGGTTTTGAACAGTGTTTTCGCTCAGATGTATCTTTACATGAAAAGTGGCTAGATTTAAATTACTTTTGAAACTGGACTATTTTTGAACGACCACTTGTAAATCTGGCTATTTTTGAATTTCTCCCAAATTTTCATTAATAGCAGGATTTTAAAGAGATATCACCGATGATTAGCATGAGCTTGTATGGGTCCAAATT